TATTAGGTTATTTAATTTCTCACAATGTGAGTTCTAGAAAACTGGTTCATATGAACATGCTTAATATCTGATTGCTTGGACGGTGTTTTGAATATGTAGTTATGTCCCAGTTCTAAAATGTAATGTAAATGAGATGCATTTTTGTGAAAAGAAAAGGGGGGAGTATGCCCTCCCCCCAAATTCAATGCCCAGGCCAAACCCCTGCACCAAGAAACCCAAAATAAGGAGAGTGCATTCCTACCATGACATCAAAACCCCCCCATGAAGAGATTTCTAAGAAACATGGTGACCCCTGCTTCTTAAATGACGACTGCTTCTTAAATGGACAGTTCTATGTGGCCTGCTCCAGAGTGAGCTCATCAAGCAGCCTGGTGATCCTAGCACCTGAGGGCAGAACCACCAATGTGGTCTAGAGAGAGGTCCTTCAGTAGAGGGGGGGGGAAGTACGTATGTCTCACTTCATTTCTTACACTACAGTCTTCTCTGTTAGAATTCCTACAACAAATGTCACATTTCAAATTTCACGTCATCAGTATTATTACTAGATTTTCGGAACTTAAATACCGTAGTGAAGCACGGGTATCAGGCTAGTTGAACTATAATTCCCAGGATTCTCTGGGGAAACCCACAGTTTTGAAAAACTGACTTGGGCTTTTTCACATTCTTAATTTTCCCACTTGTAAGTTCCTGTTTTGTGGGGGGGGGAGGGGATTTCTGTTCTGTGTTTTGCTCCCTCTAGAGGTCAATTCTATATTACAACGGTTAACATCCAGCATACCTCCCAGCAGATTTAAACTGCAGGCTTGTATGCCAGACATAAACCAGTATAATACCGAAGTGACCACTACAGAGAGCAAACACGTGCAGAACAGAAAAACCTCCCCAAAGCAGAGTCCCAAGTACGGTGGTGCTCTGATTTCAGTGGAATTTGCTTTCAAGTAACAGGATCCCAACCTATGATATGGAAGCGCACCTGGCGGAGAGGAGAGGAGAACATCCAGGTTATGATCCATGGCTTCTAGCGCCTCCTCCCAAAAGGAGTCAGAGGCCACATCACGAAGGCACCACACAAAGTCGGGCAGCATGCTACTAAGCAGGAAGCTGTTCTCCAGAGGACAATCCTCCAGAACCCGTAGCCTGTCTGGGATCATCTTCACATATCTGCGGGGAGGATGCTGGTTGAGGAAAAGAGAACTTCTGGAAGGCCCAGGAGTGGATTGTGAAAGCATTCAGGGATTAGATTTTAGAGTGGGAAGGAACGAAGAATGAGAACGGTAATCCAATCCCCCACCCTCCAGCCAATTAGATCTGCCATTTGCTTTCAAAAATTCTGGTGCCAAAGGCTGGGTGTTGCCGAGCATGTGCAGAGAGTATTTTCAAGATTTTAAAAAGTGCTTATGAGCACACACCTTTGATCAAATGCAAACACTCCCTCTTCCATTTGAATTGTACCATCTTTTTTTTTTTTTTGCTAAAAGACCATCCCTCAAAATGAAAAACAACTGAAAACACAAAGGGTTCCTGGCTTTACATCCTCCTGTTATGGCAATTAGCCGGGAGAACAAAATGCTGCTCAGGAAGAAGAATAAGAAGAGATTGGATTTATACACAGCCCTTCACTGCCCGAAGGAGTCTCAGAGCGGCTTACAATCTCCTTTCCCTTCCCCTCCCCACCACAGACACCCTATGAGGTAGGTGGAGCCGAGAGAGCTCTTTCGAGAACTGCCCTTGAGAGAACAGCTCTGAAAATAACTTGTAACTGACCCAAGGTCACACCAGCAGCTGCATGTGGAGAAGTGGGGAATCAATCCCGGTTCTCCCAGATTAGAATCTGCACTCCTAACCACTACACCAAACAGGAGGCAATCCAGGTGACTTCACATTTGGAAGCGTAAGGACGGTCTGAGCCGAAAGATGCAGACATCCAAGACGCAGGTTGAGGGTTCCCACCAAATTACGAAGGAACAGTCCTGTTGTTACTATTGCAGAATATTCACAGTCTATGCTGTGATCCAATAAAAGCTGCAGTAGGAAGGATACATCAGTTTATCAAGCTCTTCTTGGGGATCCCAAGCACCTTTGGTGTTGTATATAAAGATATTGCACAGCAGTACATCCAAAAGGAACAGTTTGAAGGAGATGGACCTCTCATCCTGTAGGGATACCAGAAGAGACATCAGGAACCAGAAGTGACATCAGGAACCGGAAGTGACATCAGGAACCGGAAGTCAAGTGAGCCACCCCAGATGTGTGTCTTTACTACTGAGAAACATTTGATCCCTCTTTTCTGCTATCGCGTACTCAATATGACTTAAAATTAAACAAGCACACACACTAAACAGGTGCAGGAAAATGCCTACAACAGGATAAAGCCAAAAATGACAACATTACAGAGCTGCCAACGTTTTAACTGGCTACTGTAGCTGTGCCTTGAATGGCCACTGCATCTGCAGATGTTTACCCTTCCAAGCTGTGAAAACCATTTTGAGCTGCTGATTTCTGCACCTCAAACTGCCAGGCTGGATTTCCCACCATTTGGCAACCTCACCTAAGATTACAAAAAATCACCTGAGATTTAAAAAAAAAAATGGAATTCACTGCCACAGGAAGTGGTGGCGGCTACAAGCATGGATGGCTTCAAAAGGGAATTAGATAAGCATATGGAGCAGAGGTCCATCAGTGGCTCTTAGCCACAAGGTATAGATAGGGACTCTGGGGCAAGGGATGCTCTGTCTTCTTGGTGCTTGGGGGGGTCAACAGTGGGAGGGCTTCTAGTGTCCTGGCCCCACTTGTGGACCTCCTAATGGCACCTGGTATTTTTGGCCATTGCGTGACAAAGTGTTGGACTGGATGGGCCTTTGGCCTGATCCAACATTGGCATCTCTTATCTTCTTACAAACTTTCACCTCATGATTTCTGCCTTGTATGCAGCAACACAGCTTCGGTCCATAGAAGAAAAGACGGCAACCCAATTTTGCTCACTGCCGAACAGATGACTTAAGAGGAAAGAAAGACACCTAGTCCCCCCCCCCCAGCAAAGCAGCTAGCCTCTGAGTGATCCAAATGAAAACTGGACTAGATTGCAAGTTCTTATGGTCTCACAGAACTACCGAGTTAAGTCGGAAGATACTGAAATGCTGTCTGACTTTACGTTTCCATTTTCTAGCACTGGAATGGCCTACCCGAAAATCTGGGAAGGATCCTACCTCCTCCATTTTCTCGGGGAGACCTTCCATATCCAGCAACAGCAGGGTTTCATCTGGTCTTGTTGGGTGGAGTGAACACCGCAGCCATATTCCTGGAGAATGGGGGGAGCCTGGAGGAAAAGGGGATGAAGAGGATGAAGGGGTGCCACATCTACAAGACCCTGGAGAAGGACCCACAGAGGATGCTGGGGCACTCACCTCCATCTTGCCCCACCAGCTGGTCCAGGAGGAAGGATTTCCCAGTCCCCCTGGGCCCGAAGATGGCCACCACCTGGAGGGGACCATCCAGAGCCTCCAGGAAGGACAAGGCAGCTGGGTTCACCCGCAGGGTGCTGGAATCAGGGGATAGCTCCACGAGGCAGATCGATTCCATCGCCCTGACGGAAAAGGAGCAAAAGTCAAATACACAATCATCCTTATATCCTGGCAGTCCACATTCTTCTTAATTAATTATGAATCTACTCATATGGAGGGCCAAAGATGTCATATACACCAAGCTATGCCCTGGGTCCATCCTATCCACACTTGTCCACTCAGTTAGTGGTTCTCCAGGATTTCAGGCGGATATCTTTCCCAGTCCTGCCACCAGAGACCCCTTCGGATGGAGATTTTGGGGACCAGTCCTGGGACCTTCTGTATGTTATTTGCCCCATACCGTGCCTAATGGGTAAACTTTGTGCTCGGGCTTCTGCAATCAGAGTCCTATTACTTCGTTTTTGAGCTGTCTCATTCTATTGATTTGTCTCACTTACATAGTGTAATCAGCCTTCAGTCTCAATGAGAAAGGTGAGCTATAAATAAAGTAAACAAATAAATTAGGAACGTCAGAACCTACGTGGCTTTAAAGTCCGACAATGGCTCGGGACCAGGTATCTGAAGGATCATCTTCTCCCATATGTTCCTGCCCAGGAATTAAGGTCAAGGGAAGATGCCCTCCTGACTGTCACGCCAATTAAAGACACTCATTTGATGGGTATGAAAGACAGGGCCTTTTCCACAGCAGCCCCACAATTATGTAAAAACCTCCCCAGAGTGATGCACCCGGCCCCCTCATTGTCGATCTTCGGGAGACAGCTTTGGACAGTTGTATTCAGGATGGCATTTTTGAATTGTTTTTAAACTGTGACTCTCAGGGGTTCTATCGTTGTTATTTTTATTGTGTCTTTAAAAAAAAACGTTTTATTTATACTTTAAGCGAGTGCCACAAGGGGAAAAGGTGGCAAATAAATGTTTTAAATAAAATTAATAAATAAACCCCAGTTTTATTAGAATATCCTGTCCTGCCCTGATTTCAATTGCTTTTTTGCATTTTGTGCTGCATTCCATGAAGGGCGCAACTTCTACATTCTAACACGTAAAGTAAAAGGTAAAGGTTCCCTTGCTCGAAAGCCAGTCGAATCCGACTCTAGGGTTGCAGTGCTCATCTCCGTTTCAAAGCCAAAGAGCCAGCGCTGTCCGAAGACGTTTCCGTGGTCATGTGGGCGGCATGACTAAACACCAAGGCACACGGAACACCGAAGTGGTACCTATTTATGTACTTGCAATTTCTTGCTTTCGAACTGCTAGGTTGGCAGGAGCTGGAACTAGAGATGGGAGCTCACTCCGTCATGCAGCACCCAGGTCTCGAACAGCTGAACTACCGACCTTCCACAGCCTGCAGTTCAGCGTCTTAACCACTTGAGCCACCGCAGCGCCTTCTAACACTTAATAAGTGGCAAAAAAAATGGACTCTTCCCCCTCCCGCCAAATACCCACTCTCAGAACAAGGTAGCAGGTAAAGAAACAGGACAAAGTAACAGGTAAAGAAAAAGCAGCGTGCGCCCTTGCCCATGGTCAGGTTCGCTAGCCGCATACAACCTGGAAGTTTGGATTCTCAGCCTCTCATCACAGCAACACACACGTGAACCTGCCTTCGAGTGACTCAGACCATTGGCTCTGTCAACTCAGACTGGCAGCGGCTCTCCCCGGTCTCAGGCTGAGGTCTTTCACATGCCAAATAGATACACTACCCCTTGAGCCACGTCCTCCCTCTTCCTCCCACCCGTGCCTCTGCACTCCTTTTAAGGTCTGGTTCAAACGCGACGATCGAGGCAAAAGAATGCATGGCTTGGAGCGCATTTGCCTTGTCAATACCGCGGGGGGGGGGGGGGCCCGCG